TAGCATCTCGAGACCTTCTATTATATAAACCCCGTGATCCTACTATAAGCTTATAACTTATTAGGCATTGCATGCCGAAATTAAGATTCACCTCAACTGGTGACATGAACCTGGTATGTTACCTGAATGCCCTCAGTCAAATCTCGAACCCTGTTAATGCTATTCTGCCAAGTAACCTTAATCTAAGGTTCTAGAATTACAGTTCTAATGTTCTAGCATTAGTGCCCATGCCCCAGATAAGATCTCGAGGCAGCTCACAGCTGTAATAACAGAAGAACTAGCCAGTCACCACTTGATTAAAAAACGAGGGAATGACACGCATTATCATACGATAAGAAAATCTATGCGACTGAAAAAAAGAATATGGGGTCATTCTGAAGTGGGAACCAAACCACTGCGGTATTATAGGAAATTAGCTAAATTAAATTGCGGCCAACAGATCTCAATCCAGGGATTACAGATCAATATTGGTCGAGGCAGCGAAATCAATCATAATTATAAAGTGGGGTACTGGTCAGCGGTCAAGGAACAATCTGGCCCGGATCCAGTGCCGATTTATTTAAGGTCCGGTATTCTTGGTACATATATCATGGTTTTATGGCATGAATAAATAAAAAGTTTGAAGTTGAATTTTGGTCAACACATTTTATTTAAGTTGGTGCCAAGGAAAAATTGTTGGAGTTGTCACAAATCATGTAGTAGTTATTTACTAATGACTCCTAAAGTGAGCGTTTTTGAGTATATGATGTGTATGAGTCGGCAATTGGGAACAATTTGCTGTTAGCAGCCGATCCTGTGACCTTAAGAAATCGTGATTTTAAAAATTGCCCTTTCGTAAGACACAAATGTGCTGCTGTCCTGGCCCATTAAGAGAGATGTCCAATAAAGTAGATCATTCTCCAATTTTTGTAGGTGTTTCTGGACACAAAGTGAGTCATCTTACATCTTGTGACAAATGTTATGTTGCTCATGAGTCTTTAAGACCTTTCTAGTTAACAGCCCAATAGCCTATTTGTGAATACTGTCATTGTTCGCTAGGCAAAAATCCGTTTTTCAGCCACATTTCCGAAAGTAAGCCTTTTAGGGTATATGTTGCTTCATAAGTTGTATATAAATGTGGCCATTATGTACATTTTAGTGTATCAGAATAGTCCCTACGACCTTCCTAGGCGGAAATGCCAAAAATCACGGAAATTATGAACTGCGTCAAGCCAAAAACCGTTTTTCGGCCATATTTCCGAAACGAAGCATTTTAAGGTATATGTTGCTTCATAAGTTGTATATAAATGGGGCTATTAGGCACATTTTGGTGTATCGGAATAGTCTTAGGAAGACCTTCCTGAGCCGAAATACAACAATTCGAGTGACCGCGAAACACTGAAAAAGGGTGTGGCCGAAAACGCCCTCATTGCATTTATTTCAAAAATGCAATGAAGTCCAAATGTTTTAAGAATCATCTAGAGAGGTGATAACCGTTGAGAAATCGCTTTTAACACGAAAAGCTAACGAGATAGCCTTTTAGAACGGTTGGGATCCGACTAATATAACAGAAGCAAAAGTTAAATAGATATAATAGCTGCTCCCCTCAGTTAGCAATAACGAGCAAAGATGATGAAATCTGCAATAGTTATACTGTTGGTTGTGTGCTACGCCGAGGCTGGACAGAAGGTGAAAATAATAAACGGAGAGGAGGACAACAGTAAACAGAAGTGTGCTTTGGTCTGTTCGGGTTCAACAGGTATGATAGAAAAGTTATCAACTATTCTAACAAAGTTTTGAAATGATGCAGCTAAGGTAGATTGCCAAATGAAGTTGACTAACCGTTCTTTTCACAGCTCAAAATGTTATAGTTGATAATATTGATATCTCTCTCTATCTAGCATCTATGATAAAGTAATGAATTTGTTGTTGTTGTTTTTGTTTGTTATATTTTCTTTTCAGACTCGTTTATTGTCATTTTTATTTTTTCGGCAGTTTGTTGATCCTCAATTCGTTAAATTTCAGGGCGTACTACGACAGTGTTCCAGGATTATTCTGATGGACAGAACGTGTTTGTTGATGTTGACATGAGCGAGTGTGGATTTGCTAAGATTCCTAATGTGGTGACCTCTGTGGAAGGATCCGGCAATCACTGGATGGTTCTTGGAGCAGCAAGCGTTTACGATACAACCACAACCGGATTCCGCGTCTACCTCAACAACGTTAATGCCGGATTGGATAAGAGCCTATTGGATGACAAGTTGTGGAATATCGAGTGGGTGGCTGTTGGGTTCACTTGCGGACCACATTATATATATAGAGGCTAGCTTATATAACATCTGAACCGAAAGTAAGAGTACTTTCTTGACGAAAGTCAAATACAAGGAAATACTTTCGAGAAAACCATAGTATATAGCTAACTTTAGCAAGGTAGTGTTGGTTGTGTGCCTAACCTGGTGAACACAGTGGATATCCTTGCTGTACGACTAGTTAAACAGGGAATAACCGATTTGACTAAAATCTGAACAGTTTGAGGATGAGCTTGATTTGTTCACGTGCATGAAAAATACAAAACAAAACACTATTGATCAGAGAATTGGGACAATTATACAGACCTTAAAAAGATGTTTGTTCTAAAGTTTAGAATTGTGTGAAAAATGCTGTAGTTTTAGCTTAAATGTAGCTTAATAACTATCCCAAATATTTAACCACTTTTTCTCTTGTTTGTTGACGTCTCCTTATCAATTTACATCACAAAATCTCGGAGCAAATAAATACTAATCCAGTCTGAGTATCATAAATGAAAGCATCATGCTGTAGGAGTTTCTAATTGACCCAGGAGCCCACTTCTCACTCCACATTTACGGATAGGCGTGGTGATCAGCGGCCTGTAGTTGTTGTTTTCCTTCAAGTACTCCCTCTTAAAACTCAGATATAGTATTATAATACATGAGAATTAATATATTAACTAGTGTCTCTAGTAGTACTACTACTGTCTCTAAATGTGCAGTAGGATGGGATGATTACCCCCTCCCTTCTCGACCCTATCTTCCCTAGGCGACGTACGTGACATTATGTATGAATTATTATTAGAATCAAATTTACGGTTCTCCTGAACTAATCTTACTCACTGAGAGTCGGTGTAAAAACAAGTCACCACATAGAACTACATTACAGACTGCTTTCTACTGTGTACCAACAGTTTTAAACGTGTCTTTCTATTGTTGCAATTATAAAATAGTGGAATTGTAATTATTATACATTGCGCAATAAATGTCCTTTAACTAGCTAATTCGAATTAAACTGCGAATATTTAATACTCAAATGTGTAACCGTAAACAATACCTCAGTACTTGAAACACACCTAATGCTACGTGTGTCTCAAACTACTAATTTCTTAGAAATCAAGGTTTCATAGCTCCAGTGATACCTGCACTCACAACACTAATTTACACTTAGCATCTGCACAATAGTACAATTTCAGTATTAATTATTTTCTAATTACCGTTTTTCTCAGTCTGATCTTTCTTGCATCGTCTCACAGCCGCAAAATTAAGAAATCATAAAAATAGAAATATCCACGACTAAAATAACAACCAACCGTACTCCTTCATCAATGTAACCACATATTACTGTAGAAATACTTCTATACCAGTGGGCGTGTTATAACCCAATAATACAATTACAATCACCACACTTACACTCGGAAATGGGAGCCTCCATTAATAATATCTACACTTTGAGATATCTCCTCATCGGAGTAATATATCAGTTGGCAGCTTGCCAAGGATCATTTGAACTATCTTGGGCGGGTTCCAACTAGGATTTGTGTTGCATGTACACTGTATTTCAGTGTGTGATGTAATGTGATTAGTAGGATAGCTTAGTGAGAGGCTGGAAGTGGGGAGACGGCTCACTCTGCCACTACTGACGGCTCACTCTGCCACTACTGACGGCTCACTCTGACACTACTGACGGCTCACTCTGCCACTACTGACGGCTCACTCTGCCACTACTGATGGCTCACTCTGCCACTACTGATGGCTCACTCTGTCACTACTGACGGCTCACTCTGTCACTACTGACGGCTCACTCTGTCACTACTGACGGCTCACTCTGTCACTACTGACGGCTCACTCTGTCACTACTGACGGCTCACTCTGCCACTACTGATGGCTCACTCTGTCACTACTGACGGCTCACTCTGTCACTACTGATGGCTCACTCTGTCACTACTGATGGCTCACTCTGTCACTACTGATGGCTCACTCTGTCACTACTGATGGCTCACTCTACAGACGGGGTGGTGGTGAAACTTCTCCAACATGCACAGTCTTGCTAGATCGTACAGAGTAGATACAATTTATCAGATAATATTATTCTGAACGTGCTGGTGGCAAATACAGATTTCCAGATCAGCCCGGTAATTTAATCGCATATTTAGATCTATCACTCCGATCCAGCTAACCCTTTCCTGACTTATTGACATTAATTACTTTAGTTTATGATAGTTTTTGACAAGTTTAGTGGTTTACACCATTTATTTTTCTGATTAATTTTTGACAGGTGACTAATCCTGTCAGGGAAAAATTGTTGACTTGTTTATTTTATGGGCGCTAATCACTTTTACTTCAAACAAACGTCTATAAACCAAGCGTAAACAGGATGTGTTGTTTATATGTAAAACAAGGACAATACAGTTAATTGCACGGTTACACATAATCTAATCAGTGTTATCAGTGAGGAGCAAGGTCTTCAGCAGCACTTAATACACCTGTCTTCATGGTAAAATCAGCGGTTTATCTGTTTAAATCATGTCTAATAGTGATAAGGAAGAGGGGAATTTGTCAGTCATGAATTGGTATTCAAATTAAGTCTGATAATTTGTCATGGCCTGGTTATTTAGCGGACCACAAGAAATGATGACAGTGATGAAGCGATTGAAACCTTTTGACAACTGAAGACGTTTTGCGTGAATAATAAATATGTGACAAGTGAGTAACAAGGGATCAATTACTTACCGATCCAGTTACCGTTAGGACCACAACAAGTCTCATTATCAACGATGGAGGGCAGAGTCAGATAACTGAACATAAACATCAGTATAAACCCTCCAGTGAACAGTGTTACCTGAGGAGGAGTTAGTGAAAGTTAGTGAAAGTTAGTGAAAGTTAGTGAAAGTTAGTGAAAGTTAGTGAAAGTTAGTGAAAGTAAGTGAAAGTAAGTGAAGGTTAGTGAAAGTTAGTGAAAGTAAGTGAAAGTTAGTGAAAGTTAGTGAAAGTTAGTGAAAGTTAGTGAAAGTTAGTGAAAGTTAGTGAAAGTAAGTGAAAGTAAGTGAAAGTAAGTGAAAGTTAGTGAAAGTTAGTGAAAGTTAGTGAAAGTTAGTGAAAGTTAGTGAAAGTCAGTGAAAGTTAGTGAAAGTTAGTGAAAGTTAGTGAAAGTTAGTGAAAGTTAGTGAAAGTTAGTGAAAGTTAGTGAAAGTTAGTGAAAGTTAAAGTGAAACTTGAAAGTTAGTAAAAGTTAAAGCCACGATACTAATCTCACATCGAGGGAAGTTTTGGAGAAACCCATTCCAGTTTTCCTCGGACTAAAAGCAATCGATAGCTGAGCAAGAATATCGTTTTTATTAACACAAACTCACTTTGATAATTCGAGAACCTGCTAGACATAGTATTAATCCAATAGCACCAATGGATTCTCTTATAACCACAAGCTTTACGCTGAAATAGATCATATTATGATAAGGCTGTATTGGTTTCCAAGGATACAAATTTGAAAGAAAGCATTTCAGTTTTCTTAGTGAGAGATACAAAGCTTTGTGGAGTTTTTAAAAGGAAAGTGAAAGCGAAAGGCAAAGTAAAAGGAGGGCCAAAGTGGAGTAAAAAAGGAATTTATTATTTCCACTTACTCGTCCCTAGAACTATCTTTCTTCTCAGTAAATTTCCCATGATGTTTTCCAAGGGAGTGATGTTTGCCATTATTTTTTGCTGCATGTTGCTTGCTCGCTTGATGTTTGTGATTTTTATCAGCTTCCGATATCTGAGTGAGCAGCAATACAACGAGGATAAACAAAGGGAGAGTGTGCTTCATGCTAGTGCATCGGCTCAGGAGATGTAAGCAGTCTTCGAGGCGTGTTGTATAACAGCGGAATCCAAAGGTGAGCTTATTCAAATCGTGAGTTGGTGACTTAAATTGGCACTAGGACAGATTGTCAAATATCTTGTACATTGCCTAAATTGTATACATTTATAGGATATCAGTAAAACAGTTGACAACTCGATTGTTAATAATCCAACCTGCTCCTTTAGCTGTGAAATTAATTTTGTTGGCACATTGAAAGGATTGCTGAAAATCAACACTAAAAATACTTTAAAATATCAAAATGGCCAAATGGCTAGAGTGTCCACCCTCTGAGCAGAAGGTCCGGGTTCAAATCCCATTGTCACCTAGTCTTAGAAGTTTGCTCAGGATTTCATTCGATCTATGAGGAAAAAAACACACATTTTAACCACTGATTGCAAAAAATCACTGACAGCTCCCAAGGTTTAGGTAGCATGGTTGGCCCTTTGGCTGGGCTGAAAGAGTGCCTGCATAAACCATCATAATGACTAGTAGTCTAGTTAATAATAGACAGTTTAATAATAAACAGCAACAGAAACCTTAACTGGAATCCCCACACCGCCCATCTTGCTTCCAAACTAAAATGTGCTGTCAGTAAACTCTGTCGCATCAGAAGTTTAATACATAATGAACTGCATAATGATCTCTATCACACCCTCTTTGAATTTCATTTTGGATGTGGGATTTCAGTGGGGGAACTGGGGAGGCTTGCCAAACAATAAACTTGAACCTATGTTTGAACGCTAAATAAGAATTTAACGACAAAAAGGTAAGGCGGACTCCTAACCCATTTAGCTAATTAGCTGAGACACACCTCACCGCAAGTAGACCAATGTGGCTTTTGTGAAATGTGCATTAACTACCTGCTCAAGCGGTGGATTGGGAGGCCCAAATGGTGCATGGGATCATTTCGTCCGTTATTTACAATGAATTATATGAAATACACAAACAAATCAAGGAAACCTCAAAATTTGTGTACTGTATGTATATTTTATTATTACCATTATCTTTTTTAGCAATGGTAATTGTCCAGCTATTATAAGGTTGGACACCTTCGAAAAATAAAAACCAATACAATAAATGCCATAAAACGGTAGAAAGTTTGAAAAACCAAGGCAAGGTAGAAAAAACCCTTTGCAATATACTATTATCTTTTAATATACATAATTTGTCATACGTTGTATGACCCGCCGCGCACGAAGTGCGCGGCTCCCCTTGTATCATAGTGAAACGACCGTGTGAAACGACCCGTGATACAATATATAATGTAGTGTTTAAAATGTTTAAAATGTTTATAATATAAAAATGTTTAAAACACTTTTCACTTCACACTCCAGTTCCATTATACAATTTATTTCAAATATTACTGGGCCGCGCTCAACCTGTCATTCCGCCGAATCTCTATTTTATGTTTATGAACATGATAGCCTGTTACTGGGCCGCGCTCAGCCTGTCATTCCGCCGAATCTCTATTCGGCATAATAGCCTGAGGTCCCCAGGTAAGATAGCCTGTTGTAGCGCGATGTGTTACTGTCAACTGTGCCGCGCCGCGCACTCAATGAGGCTTCTCTCTCTCTAGATCGGCGAAATGCGCTACTGTGCCGCGCCGAGCTGAGGTGAATTGACATCGTCAATTAAGATAGCCTGAGGTCCCCAGGTAAAAATAACCCCCAGGACGTAGGGTTAAAATGCTCCCCTGATGAGATATTGGCGAAAAACTGTCTTGATAACGTGATATAATGACCGTATAAGGAAGTTAGTCTAATTTCTCGATATGGTTAGGGTTTCAGCATATGCTTTTGTTAAGGATCGGGTTAGGGTTAGGGTTGGGATCGGATTAAATGGTTAGGGTTTCGACTAGTCGTTCAGGACCAGCTAGAGAACGGGTTGAAAAAGTTATGTGACAGTCGACTGTAGAGTCAAGAGTGATTAATCATCATCCGCACTTGTCGGTAAGTTATAAATTTGATTAATGATGTCAATCCTTCGCATCTCGCCGATCTGCATACGTGGTTGTGAGAGGTGCGCGACGCGGCCCAGTAGTGCATCGCGCTACAAGTTATAAACCTACAATCTTAATTGACGATGTCAATTCATCGCAGCTCGTCGCGGCACAGTAGCCAGTAGCGCATTTCGCCGATGTCGCTGTGAGAAGCCTCATTGAGTGCGCGACACAGTAACGCATCTTACCTGGGGACCTCAGGCTATTATGTTCATAAACATAATAGAGAATTAGAGATTCGGCGGAATGACAGGCTGAGCGCGGCCCAGTAATAACGCTCCTACTAAATCGCTCGCCCAAATTTTAAGAAAATTCTTGTGAAAAGGCCCTTTAGGCATGAAAGTGATCTGGATCGGTGTATTTTTGGACGCTGATTCCGAATCACCCCCCATGACGTAGGGTTAAAATGCTTCCCTGGAGAGTTATGGGCAAAAAACCGTTTTGGTCACGTGACAGGCTAGTAAAACGTGAATTCGATTATTTAGGGCTCGGGTTAGGGTTAGGGTTGTGGTTAAGATTATGGATAGCTTCGGGGTTATGGTTAGGGTTAGGGTTGGGATTAGGGTTTATGTAAAACCGTTTTGTACGGCTGCAAAACCAAAAAAACCAAAGTCACGTGAAATTTTTGGGCGAGCGATTTAGTAAGAGCCCAGTAATAACGCATCACGCTTATATAACCTACAACCCTGATCATTGCTTTTGTCTTTTTTAACTAAAATGACCCTTGTAGGTTTACAACCTACCAGGACGCGCGCCGAGTTGGACTCGTCGACGGTCCAATATATGGAACAGATATTTTACGTGTATCACCCGTTAAAAATGACCCGCATAAATAAGATTCAATATTTTTTTGATCATTTACAATTCAAAGTTTTGTAACCGAAAAACAATTTGAATTTGGTCACATAAACAATTTGAATTTGGTCACATAAATACTTATTACTTACCCCAAGTCCCAACCCTATACTATTACTACTAACCGAAAAACAATTTGAATTTGGTCACATAATGCATAAACACTTACCCCAAGTCCCAACCCTATACTATTACTACTACTACTAGCCCAAACCATTGTTAACGATAACGATTTTATTCGTATTCATGCTTTGGGGTCGTTCACATATCGTTCACATATCACTTTTTGAACAATTTTTACCCCCCCCCTCCGTAATCAATTTTACACACAGCTATTGTGTATTGTGTCAAAATTACACTACTAGTAGTAGTACTACTAGTGTAATCATTTGGAATCTTCCCTCCCCCCTGGCCTCGGCTGATTACGTAGTAATAGTATGTGAAGGACCCCTTTTCAATATTACATTTTTTCGATGGGCGAAAAACTTAACGGGTGATACTCGTAAAATATCTGTTCCATATATTGGGACCGTCGACGAGTCCAACTCGGCGCGCGTCCTGGTAGGTTGTAAACCTACAACGAAAAACAAGATTTGTGTAAGAACAAAGTAATGACTAAATAATTGTGACTGAAAGTAAACATGTTTGTGATTGACAATTTCAATACGAATAAGTTCTTTGACTATTTAATTTTTAATACAATACAGAAACCATCTATGTAGAGTCGAGAGAGCTCTTTTAAGTGCCGTGTAAAGTTCGAAGATTAGTACTTTTTACCGCCGACCTTGAAACTGATGTAGGCAGACTTGACTGAGTCGAATCCAGACAGGACACCAGCACCGGCAACTCCTCGGAGGATGTTTGCACCAGCTCCTTTCATCAAAGACATGGCGCCTTCAGTCTTTATCACTTGCATAGCACAATCCCAGGATCCGCTATATTTCACAGCCTGTCCACTTGTCATCATCATCCTCCTTCGGACTGTGTCAAGAGGGTATGATACGAGACCAGAGCCAACTGTTACACCGTACCCAAGACAGAAAGACATGAGAAAACTAGCGTCTTCGCCCAAGAGCATGGGTTTCAAGGTGTCATAAAGACCGAAGTATAATCCTCTGTAGACAAAGATTCCGATACACGAGATTACAAATCCTCGATAAAGGCCTCCAATTCCATCACTCTTCAAAGTTTTGCTGTACACATCGACTAAGCCGTTGTACTGTCTTTTAGCAACACCATCGGCTCCAACAACTTTCGAATCGTTAGCTAGACGAGTCCTAGCATAGTCCAGTGAGTATACGAAGAAGAGTGAAAGAGAGCCCGCTACTCCGCCTGATGCTATGTTTGAAGAGAACTTTATGGCTGAAATGCAGATAACACTGTTAAACCCTCTGAATATATTGTCTTCGAAAAAAAGATACCAGTTTACACGTACAATAAACGAAATTTAAAATGTTCGTGTTTTCAAAAATTTGCAATTTTATAATCTATTGCTTACCTTTCGCAGCATCCTTCTTCACGGCAAACATTCTTTTGACTTGTCCCTTGAAAGCGAAGTTAAGAGCTTGAGTTGGAAAGTAACGCAGACAATTAGCCAGGTTACCTCTCCAGAATGGCTGTAAGCCCTCGTTAGCAAATGTTCGGGCGGTGCAGTCAAGCACTCCCTTGTACGGCTTGTCCAGGGTTCCTTGTTTTATCATTTCTCCCTGGTTCTGAACCAGCAACTTTACTCTTTCTATCGGAGCAGCGGCACTTTTGCTCACCACTGCTGCTAGACCAGAGAGGACGAATTCCTCCATAAAGTTAAGTTCAGCCATGTTTGCGAGAGTTGTATTGCTTGAGAAAGTAGAGAAGTGCTGGAATTAAATGAACTGCACGTGCAAAACGCATCTTAAATTACTTTAAACTTATCGTCGCCATGGTAACTTCCGAAAGCTGCTGTTTGATCAGAGCAAGATATGTGGAATTTGCACGTGCAGCAAACTGGATGATGATTACTACACTCGACTTTTTCAACCCGTTCTCTAGCTTGCCCTGAACGACTATTTAAAACCCTTTAAGTTACACTATAATCTGACCAACTTCCTTATTCGGTCATATCACTTGATCGAGACAGTTTTTCGCCAATATCTGGCGAGGGGAGCATTGTTACCCTACGTTGTTACCCTACGTCATGGGGGGGGGGGGGGGGGGGGGTGTGATTTGGAATCAGCGATCGAAAATACATCGATCCAAGTTGGTTTAAACTGTCCTAGGGGGGCCTTTTAGAAACATTTAGAAGATCGAGTGTAGTGACTTAGCATGCTCGCATCAAACTCGGAGGAAATTCCATGTTGACTAATGACTGCCAAGAACTCTGAACTAGAATAAAGGCTACCGTTCCGTTCAAGACTATTGAACACAATATTATGGGGAGGGCAAGTCCCATCGATGCCTATCCCCATTTGACCAAAAGTTGAGGAATAAATTAGCAGTAAACATTCGTGATACTTTACTCTGTTGAGCTGAAATATGGTTTTGCTTGCTAATTAGAGGACAGCAAACTCTATAATGTTTAAATACCAATTTGACCAAAGATTGAGGCTGCTCCCCCCCCCCACAATTTTTTACCCAGATTTATTAGAATGTTTTACTTAATGAGCATGGCACGACGACCATCCGAATGATGTCCAGACATTCTGTTGTGAAATGGTTCCTACTTAACTGAGTAGAATATTCCACCACACTGGCCTGTCCCTATACCATTAGTCTAAAATATCGATTTGAGGTCTTAGGTAGTCGGTCAATTTGTATTCTAATGGATTCTAAAACCGGAATTATCTGACTACGGACGATTTTTCCCTACGCCGCGCACGTACGTCCTTGTTTGCAATAATTGAAATACGTAACCAACCGATAATGACAACAGGCAGCACAATCAGTTGCTTGGGATAATAGGTGGATGGAGTCTCTTGGTAGTGCGAATAACATGAGGAATTGATTGCTTCTCCACCCAAACTTGTTCGAAACCAAGAATAAGATAAAGTTACAGAAGGGACCGGTTTGCGGATTTAGCGCGTGCGCGCCACTTAGTTTTCAGTACTAATAGTGACAGCATGATACCACCATAACTGCCGTTAGGTTCGGCGGTCGCGCCTGCCGACTAAAAATTGTGTGGACCGACTTTGTTGCCCCATGCCCGCTCATCCGAGGCATGTGTGTAATACAAGAGACAAACACTTCAACTAAGATAAATTAAAAATATAATTTAGTCTCAATCCACATATTCGAAAACGACATCTTTGCCAGTCAACTTCTTGTACACTGCCATGTAGGTGTCGAGTTTGGTTTCGGTATTGATTTGGGCGGATTTCTCGAGATGAACTTTGATCTGTTGGCTGCCGTCCAGTTTGACACGCTTTCGCTTGCCAGCAATCTGAAGAATTTGGAAGATAAGATCCATATAATATTCTCAAAATATATGCACTGGTTTCGTGATCAGCAAATCAAAATGTAGGTATATTAGAATACGTAATACTGAATCTTCTACAATTATTTTGACCATTGCGCAATTTTGACCATTTCAAGAGAAAGAACCCAAGTAAAACTGTCCAGATACCTCGGCTGGGTATACGAGATCGTCCAAAATTGACTCGTGTACTGCGGTCAGAGTTCTGCTTCTAGGTCTCTGTTGTTTGCTGAGGTTGCGGGAGTGTCGGGTTGGTTTCGAGAGGATTCTTCTCTTGGCCAGGAAAATCACGTGCTTTCCAGACAGCTTCTTTTCCAGCTCCCGGACCAGACGACCTTGAATCTTGTGGTAAATCTTCTGTTGTGGGAACGGAATGTGGATAACGACTGCTACCTGAGGTTGGAATTCGGCGTTAGTTTTCTAAAAAGGGACACGTTTTGAAGTCATAAGTCCACATTGAAAGTGGCACAAAATACGCCATTTTCTCGTGCGCATGTGTGACATAAAATCTTATAATATTAAACACTACACAACAAAAACAGATACAAAAGATTTTTTAAATTTAAAAGAAAAAGCGGTACCTTATCGTCTCTGATGACGCACTCCTCGGCTCCAACAAAGTAAAGGCCCCTCAGAGCACTAGACAGATCGGAGTTGGCCTCCAAGTCGAGGAGAGCCTGACTGACACTCTGTTCAACATCGTTCGAGGGCTCGTTACCCGGCTTTAACAGCTTAGCTGTATGACTGAACAAAGTCATTCCTACTGCAACGTCGTTAGTTAGAGGTGATTATGTCTTAATTAATTACTGTAATTGGTAACATCACAGGAGTAATTATATAATAAACGAGATATAGAAGTAACGACTGCTGTAAACAGCTACAATACACACTACTTTCCGTGGTTATTTTGAATTATGACCTGATATAAACGGCGAAAAAACTTCTTGAATTTTCGCCATCGGGGCGAAAATAAAATCTTTTCCAGTGAATGAAGATGACACTCCATTTTTCAGAATCGCAAGATCAATAAAACACGTCAGTAGTTAGTTAAAAAAGTCGAATAACTTAAGAGGAAGTGGCTTTCTTATTAGGTTTGGCAACACCAGTCTGGAATCCATTCCTGAACCTCCTTTGAACGATCTTCAGATTCTTCATTCGGCCGGTTCCAGTAGTCTTCCTCCTCTTGCCCTTTACGGACCAGTTGAAAGACCTGCATTTAGCGGCGGGGTAAGCGCACTGGGAACATCTGAAATAAGGTAGTTAGTGATTAATTGGTAAATAATTGATTAATTTTAACTCTGCTGTCAAGCTGCATTGCGAAAATTTAACTTAACGATGAAATTGTCCCGAAATTGTTTGGTCGACGCAAAATATCTGGATAACGACGTTTGAACAATGATTGAAAAAGGTAACTTTATTTAATATCAGTTTGTAAGGAAAAGAAGTATTCAAAGAAAATATAAAGGAACCTTTTCTTCTGGATATGATAACTGGATTTGCCACATCTGATGCACAGAGTATGTGACTTGTTATGGCGCTTTCCAAACGACCCGGTTCCCTTCGTCATGGTGGCTACTAGATAATTCAGTTAGTAAGCGATTATATTTTGTAAATTTTTGAAAACTTCTAATTCAGAAATATTTTTCAGTGTGTTTATTAGGTCTTTAACTATTAGGTCTTTAACTATCATACAATTGGTGAGAAAAATGAGGAATGTATTACGATATCAAGTAGAAACAGTAAAACGTGGTATTTTTAAAATAAAGTTAAGATCCTGAGTCATACAACAATCATCGCTGAAACAACGTTTCTATCTTTTCAAAACAACGTTTTCTTTAATGTATCCACCCCCGCAATTTCAATAAATTAGATAAAAAATTTAAAATTGGAGATATAAATAAAAAGATAATAAGTTAATCCCGCGATGTTCAAATAAAGCAGCTAAAATTTTGAGAATGTCAGGAAAATATTGATGAAACATTTAGTAGGATCTTGGCCTGAACTCGGCGCTTTTATCTTACTGAACATGAATCCGGGCCTGATCATAACCGGAAAATCTCAAGCTAAACTGACAACGGCAGGAATAAAAAGTTAATAAAAAGTGGACTCTTTAAGCCTTGATCTTAGGAGGAGGTCTGTATACTCCCACAACCACGGCGTGGTCCCTCTCGTACGGCTCCAATGTGATCTGCTCTACTGGTTTCATCTTCTCTGCTTTCATCTTCTTGACCTCATCAGCAAATACAGCTTCAGGGGCAGCGGTACTGTCGATACAATTAGCTTTGATTGATATCACGAAATGTCCGTTGTTTTTCAAGAACTGATGGGCGTTGATTGCTACGATACGAGCTTGATCTGGCTGAGCAACATCTGCGAAGATAACATCGACCATTCCGACCAACATTCTGTACTTGTGGGGATGTCTGGCGTCCTGGAAATTTGTTCAGTTAAATAAAAAACTAAGTAAAATTTAATACATCATCGATACAAATTCATATAATCCATACCATTATGGAAATAAAGCTTTTAAAAGAAATATAACGCGATACGAGGGGAGTTCTGGAAACAAATAACTAATAAAAATTGGAGACAGAGAGCAGAGGAAGAGACAATCGTGGTATTTAAACTCCGGTCAAACCATGAAAATTATCATATCATGAACACAAACAAACCTCAATAATGGGAACTACATTCATTCTCTTCTTAGCAACATTGATGAGATCTCTGCCTGATCTGTGTGAAAACTCTACAGCGTAGACCATGCCCTCCGGTCCAACAATATCGGCTACGTGAGACACAGTTGTTCCTGAAGCTGCTCCTAAATATAGAACTTTGCTTCCTGGTCCTGTGATGAGTAACTTTGTTAATAATTAGTTAATTGACTAATCAAATTAAATCAATTAAATACAAAATTTCGTTATAGTAAAGTTTAAGGGTTGATCTAGATAGGGTGATGGAAAATTAATACCCAAAAATCGTGGTAACTTGTGATGTGTTCTCAAAAATTTCTTATGATTGGTATTGACAAGACTTACTGATGTGAATGTCAGCTACTCCACCCAAGATGGCGGCAGCAAGTTTGGATCTGAAAGGGTTCCACACCCTGTACTCAATCTTCTCATTAGGCTCAGCTCCATCTATAGTTACTTTCTTCTCTCCGTAAACCTGATAGGAAGTGATTGTCAGTAGTCTATATAACGGTATCTGATATTTATAAAAACAGTTTAAATCAAACCAGCAATAGCAGCAAATCTGGGGAAACTTGGTGGACATTGACTTTTTTCACATAATTTGAGTATGTTGACTTCAACATTATGTTGCAGCTCATTGTGGTTAATCTCAATGTTGGAGTGATGTTTTTCTGGTGCACAAAACACTACAGTACGGTTATGTTGAATAATTGTGGTTAATGGGTCATCTATGTGGCCACTATGGTGGTTAAAATACCAGTTTTAGGGTTAACCACCATTTTTAGATATGATATTATGAACTGAGTAGTCATTATATTGAGATCATATCATGGTGCAACTATCACAAAAGTTTTCAAACCTCATGGGGGGCATTTTGTGGTCCTAATGGTGGTTAAATTGAAGATGAACGGTGAGCTATAAATATTGCTCCGATTATAGATGTATAGTGGTGGTTGTTCATTTGTGCATCGCATGGATGATAATTTTTTATCACAAATGTGCAATTTAATAGTATGGTTGATTTGAGGTGGTTAATATTCGTAAAAAGTGCTAAAAAGATGGTTAAAATGTCAAAATTTGTTGTTAACCACCAATCAAAACATTATTAATGATTTTAGTCAACATTTTCTGGTCAACAAAGAACATTTGAAGGGTCTTGATAAAATTTTTCAAGAAATGTTGTCATAAAAGTGGTTAAAAGGGCTATATTACTTGCTAGGCTGTTGAACAAGGCATCTATTAAAGTGAAAATTAACCACAATATGAACTTCAGATAATGGTTTGCTATCCAAATGAGTGTATATTTGTTTGCAAATCCATAATTGACCCCAAGTTCATGCATTATGATCAATGTGCAGCTATGGTGGTTAAAATGTCTCGAAAATACCCTATATTTGCACTAATTAACCATTTTTAGAGCACATATTAGCTTTGTAAAGCTATAGCTGGCCATGCTACATTATCTAGATATAACTACCTGCTCATTTATATGACCAGAAACATTGCTGAGTCCTATGTTGCGTCCATCATGGTTAATAAAGGTCTAAAATTGACCAAAATCAGTGTTTTTGGTCGTTTTAACCACCATACGGCCACACATTTTGTTACATTATCTTTAAAATCACTTATTATCCTCCAGCTATCTCTCATAATCAAATTTCAAAACAAAATAAGGCACAAAAAGTTCGGAGGTTGCTGAATAATGGTTAATTTGTGATGGCTTCTGTTGACCGAAAGTCCAAAATAAACATGTTTTAACCACATTGAGGCCACATCTAAGGTTTTATGGTATTGGGACCATAGCCAAAAGTTTTGGGCACCTGAATGGTGACCTCTGCTTTTGAAATTATGGTGATATTTCAATGCTGTGCCATACCAGGTGGTTAAGTACGCGCACGCGCGCGCGCACGCGTACAAACATGGTTTTTTTTGATATACCACAGTTGGTGGTTAACTGTTCTACATCAAACCTTCACTAAAAGTATTGGGCACCATAGTGGTGACATAATATATAAAGAATTTAAGCCTAGACTAAATATGTTGGCCTACAGATGGTTAAGTACGCGCACGCGCGCGCGTACACTATAACATAAACAAATAAACCACTCCACAGACCACATTTATTAATTTTTTAAATTTCCTTCTTCAACTATGTGTCAATGAACCATTTTTGTTCAATAATGACCATCAATATTAACTGTAGTACTTATATCTTCACTGTAGTAAGGGTTTGGGTGTTAGAGGTATAAAAAATGTCCACTAACAAATCAGTCATTTTTCGACTACTTAACCACCTAACTCAGCACCAAAATGTTCTGAGATTTTTTTCGTTGCAGTATCATGAAGCTATGACATTTTTGGACCTATGTAAATATTCAGATTACTAAAATTCATAATCTGTGATTTTTAAGGGGGGTTAAATGCTTCAAATTGGTGTATTTCAAAGTTTCCCCAGATTTGCTGCTATTGCTGAAACAATAGTTAAATTACCCACTACTCAGACCGCCAGAGATGAAGTTAGATTATAATTTAAGAAGCAAAACTGTCAACAAATCTCACTCACAGTGTCTCCAGGGGTCAGGTTCTTGGTGACGAGAGCGTCCTCCTTTCCTCTAGCAATGAACACACCAGCATGTCTGTGAGGTTCTACTACCACCTTTTTACCTCCCCTCATACCACCGGCGCCTCCACGGCCACCACGACCTCCACGACCTCCACCTCCACCTCGACCACCGAAGCCTCCTCCTCGGCTTCCTCCTCTGCTACCTCCTCGACTGCCCCCACGTGCTCCTCCTCGACCGCCGCCGCCAAAGCTACCTCTTCCTCTTGGTGGTGCCATGCTTACTAGAGGTGATTATGTTAGAACATGAATGGTTTTCAGTGAATTTAAAACTTTGCCGTGAAAGACAATGTATGCAAAGACGACCAGGATATTTTCTGTGAGCAAACAACTCAGAAAGATTTAAAAATTGAACTACGACTTTACATCAATAATGAATTTAAGATTACATAGTACAATTTTTATTATCCTTTTCATAAAATACACTGTTATAAATGAACATTGGACAGGACGGGATTCAAATATTTGGTTTTCATATTAAAGAAAGATATCATATAAAGAAATATCTCTGAAACACGTTTTGTATCAATTCTCGTTTAGTTTCAGAGTTCAGTACTTATTGTTATCAATGCCTCACGATGTTGTTATTATAACATAGATGGTATATTACATGGTTTTGAAGAATGGAAACAATATCACATGCTCACTTTTTACTAGAGACCATCGATCTGAATTTAGACAACATTTCAGTCTCCTTCTTGACTCTCTCCTCTTTACTGAGAAGCGCCAGTGCGCGGCGCTCATCAGCACTATAAACTTGATTCTCCTTTCTGAGCCGAACAGCTTCCATTCTCCTGTGCCTACTTCCACTCATAACAAAGCCGCTCTTCTCATAGTCTTCAATCTCACCACTTGTTAAGCCAATCTCTCCTCTACGGGGGATACGTTTTCCTGCTTTAACATACTCTGCCATAGCGGCTCCTTCTCCACGGAGAAGTTGTGATCCAAAGTCCATATGCTCTTCCTGTTTTGCTACTGGTATTGGTGGTCCAAACATGTCCTCTTCTTGAGCTCCCAGGTCTCTTCCTCCTTTTCCTTCATCTTCGCTGCTTTCTGACTGGGACTTTTTAGCTTTCTTTGGAGATTTCTTCTTTTTCTTCTTGTGTTTTGACTTCTTTTTCTTCTCTGCCTTGTCCTTCATTTTATCTTTCCTTATCTGACTCTTAATATCCTCGTCTGATTCTGATGGTGAAGAGTCCCACATGCTTGGTACTCCAGTTTCTGCTATTCTGATCCTCTTCTCTCTTCTCTGACTCCAGAACTCCTCTTGAGTATCCTCATCTCTCCTCCGGTTTGCCATCACACCAAGTTTACCACTGTTGATTACTGCTCAATTTTAGAGTGGTTCTCTTTCTGTTGATCTGTTTCTGTTGGAAGTAGATGAGAAGTGTTTCAGTGTCTGTTGTCTGATCTGAGAGGTTGCTGGGAAGTTGTGGGGATTACGTCATAACATTACGTCATAACATTACGTCATAACAACCTAAATTTTAAATATCATTGAAATATTTGTTGATTATCGAATAAATTACATTTCAAAACGTTAAACATAAAGATAGGAATTACAAGGCTGCTGATCAGCATTAAAAGTGTTAAAAGTATAATTACAAAACATAACTTAAAATAATATCTGATGAATTCAACAGATTGCCCGCAATATTCTCTTGTGATCGTCACATAACAGAATAAAACAATGACCTTTAAAAGCAACAATTTGAAAAGCAGATATCAAAAAATAACTTAAATAAAACTCCACCGATATCACAAATCCTCCTTGACAACATGTTTGGCTCTCTCTGCAACTCTAGGGACAGATCCTGGTTTTGAGTGTTTTCTCCTATTCTCATCCTTTTACGTTTCGCATTTCTGATATTAGTGTGTTCCTTACTGATTGATGTTATCATCTTTGGCACGATCCTGTGCCTCTTAATCCTCTTTATCTGAGGGTGCTCACTGTACCTCTTAATGAGTTTCTTGTTATAATCATACGCTGCTCGCTCCCTAGCAGCAACAGGACCCAGCTTACCCCACGCTAAAGATTTCCACAGTCTTATGTTAGTCTCGTCACTTCCCGTCATAACAAACTTGCTATCAGCACTGTAGTTAGTGCAGAACACACGTTGCATCCTTTTGGTGTGGTAGATTTCTTTACTTCGACCCTTGGTTGACTCGAATATTCTGACTGTTTTGTCGTAGCTCCCTGATACAAACTCTCGGCCTGTGGGAGAGTATCCCACACAGAGGACCGCCATAGCGTGTCCCATGTGCACGTTAAGGGGGGAAGATAGCTTTCTCATGTCAAAACTGTACAGGTTATTATCGTCACAGGCAGCAGTGAAGTTGAACGCTTCCATTGGGTTGAACGCTATCTGATTAGTTTTCTGAGATAGAACAACTTTTCTCAGTGGGTTGTTCTCCCGACAATCGTACAGAACAATGTTTCTGTCTTGTGCTGTTGAGGCGAGCATGTAGGTCTCCACCTGGGATATGGTGCGGTTACAGTATTACACAATTAATTAAGTTGTAGTGATTGTTGGGATTATCTATAAGGTTAGGGCTATATTCCATGATGTGTGATTTGTCCAATGAATATGAAATCTAAAGTAGAAAATACGGAAAGCCAATGATGTAACACAAATATGTTAGTTAGAATGAAAGATCGTTATATAAAATACCTTATTGAAGACTACAGAAGTGATGGTATCGACACCCCACGTGAAGTTACGTAGAGGCTCGTTACGGTTAACGTTCCATATCCCCACTGAGGTTCCACATGTAACAAACGTGTCAGATTTAGATCCCCACTGATAGTCAACTCCAGTTAACAGCGTCTGGAAATTTAGAATTTAATGAAACATTGTTTATTAGGAATGCCTCTGCATACAAGACGTATAAAGCAAGCCGCAAGGTAAATACTATTAAATGAAAGATATTGTGTACTGGACTTGAAAACTTACATTGGATGTAATAGTAGTTGAGGGGTCGACAGTTGAGTTTTGTAACATTTGGTCAACATTCCACATCCTGATAACTTGGTCATCTCCCACAGACAAGAGGAGATCGCCAGCCTGAAAACTTGGTATTACGGATTTAATAGTCATTGCAATTGCAATAGGAAGGCAAACCAATCGTGCTCCATGTAAATTGCAAAATTGTTATTTGGGCTGTTCTTTACCTGATTAATGCCCATACCCCTGACAAAGCCAGAGTGAGCAGGTACAGAACAAGAACATTCCTTGGTCGTGACATTCCACACTTTGATTTCACCATCACATGCTCCAGATATAACCACAGGCAATCGTTTGGAGTGAGTAACCATGGAGAAGACTCCATCTCGGTGACCTGGATTATAATTTGTTTATGTTGTTTTACAGAGATAAATCTACTCTTTAATTCAGATAAAACGGAAACAAAGAATATTTCTAACTGTGCTTTGTATATTATATATATTCTGTCCAGAAGTAAGTATCTTACCGTCCAAAGAGCCAACAAAAGGCTTAGCAAAAACCCGTTCAAGCTTCACAGCATTGAGTGCAGCGGTGTACTCTCTCTGAGAAGAATGTGGATGCAAGACTGGGTCTACATTCCTTGGTAATTTGGGCAGGTCTCCTGCTCTTGTTTTCAGGTAATCCTTTGGATCTCTGTTCAAAACTTTGACCTTCATTAATGATCCGAACTATTTCATGTTTCTACCATGGCTGAACTGTAGATAAGTGTGGTAAAATAGTCGATGAGTTAAAATTTGGGTTAAAGTCGTTAACAAGAATTGCGCCCGTTGTTTCGTTTTGGCGGACGCTAGATTTCCATTTCACTATTACTATTAATATAAGCTCTAATCAGCTCACCTTATAATAATAATATTGAAACATCAGTAGACTACGCGTGCCACATTCAAGTTGGGCTTATTACAAAATACTATACATTACTAGTATACATTAAAATACGCTTGTGCCGCGCATTCATTGACCACAGACTAGCTATACACCACATCTCCGCAAGCAATCCCCGTGCGCGTGCGCGCGGGAAGTTGACATGGTAACGAACGGAAGCAAGTAAGGAACACGACATATATTTGACCCACCTACCGCTATCTCCAAAATCCACGTTTTTCTGCAAAAACGTCCATTCGTAACCTTTCACTATTGCCTTTTTTCAAAAGGGTGAAAAGGAAAAAATAAAGATTAAGGAAAAGGGAAGGACCACAATCAGATTCCACCGACAAAGAAAGGTTTTGTAGAGTGAGGGTTCCCGATGGATCAATGTGGATTGTCATCTAACCCTTAAAAGATACCATGACAAACCTAATGAAAGAAGCAGAGTGCTTGGATGTTCGTGTAGAACCCCCATTACTCCCTGTCAATCCAAATGAATTTCGTCCTGGAATCGATAAAACTGATGGAGCTACACTTAACATATCTGCTCGTGGACTACTGTCAGAATTTGAATGCATTTTCTTAAATGTAAGGGTATCTTATCCATATGCCCCATCGATTGTCACTCAGTCTTCCTGCACTGTATGCAAGAAATGAAAAAGGAGAAAGAGACATGTATCAAGATCGGGTACTGAAAACGGAGAAAGGATTTTTAAAACCACTCATCTTCTCGGCAACAGGCTTATGACCAAGCTGCACTGCACCTAGGTCATAAAGCGCACCAGAATATCACACCAATGAGGTGACGAGTGTGCTCACATGATGGGCTTCAGAAGAAATAGACTTGTTTCTCACTACTTTGGAGCCTCCTCCTCACAACTGATAAGAGAGGGGTCAAGGGGAAGCTGTCAAAGAAGCTCATCTTGGATTCATCCCACTTAATCTTATTCCATTGTGTGAATCACACAACTGTTTAAGTATTATCATTATTATTACACCGATGTCCTACATAGCTTTGGTATTCTGGCAGCACTTCTTGTATAATTTGGGACAAATATAAACTTGAATAAATAAAAATATCAAAATTCACACTATCTGTTTTCAATAAACCATCATACGATTCACATGGTGGAATAAGGTCGAAAGGGATGAACCTTAGGTGAGCTTCCTTTCTGCTTTTGACCTGACACCTCAAACGGTCATGAGGACACTTCGAAGTAGTGAGAAGCTAAGTCTTGTTCTTACAAAAACCCCCATGAGCATATTGCTTGCCTCTTTTGTCTGATATTTTGGCTGCTACTCAGTTTATGACCTTGGTGCAGCTTTGTCCTAAGCCTCCTGTGGACAAGAAGACAAGATCTTGATAAAGGATGCTTTTCTCATTCTTGTTTCTTGCATATAGTGCAGGATGACTGACAAGACAGTAACATTTGATCCACGTTTGAGATTTCAAATAATATTGGTAGCAATGGGCCATTTCAGCCCTCCTTCTTAAGAAGAATAATGTACTGATACATTCAAACAAACCAAGTGATACAATATGGCGATTACATGTGCACAGGTAGAGAAAATGGTCCACTGCTATTATTTAAATCTGAACAATGTATTCATTTTAGTATGTGGCACCAAAAGAACATCAAGTGCTACCAAGAATGTTGGAGCTATGAAGTAGTAACCCCAAGAAATAATGTCAACCGTCAAATCAAACCAGATTTAATCATATAATTCGTCAGAGGGAATGAGATGGGTATGAATCCAATAAGTTTCTTTGACGAAGTTCTGCACGTGAAATGTAGCAGGAATCACGAAGAAATATTTGTGGATGACATACTATCCGAACACATAAATAATGTGTACAACATTCATGTCCTAAGGTACAGCAAAAGGGACACTAACGAGATTCAGGATCGCTGAACATGATTGAGAACACTGCTTTTTAAGTATGGGGACTACCCAAAGGTGCAAGACGTTGCATTTTAACTCTCACTAGCGTGAGGAATTAAAGAATACCGAATTTTACCGAAAGTAAAGCAAAATTTTAAGTAAAACAAAATGAATTAAGAATTAATTTAAATCAATTTAATCAACAAAAGAATGTAGATGTGCAGTTAGAATTGCTTTTGAGCAGGCGAAAAAGGTTACCATAATTGAGCTTCTTCCACCCATGTTTAAACAATGTAGATTCATGCAAGGACTAGATGCTCGTGTGGCTCTTGAACAAGTGATAAAAGCGACAAATTTGGCATAAGCACAAGTTGGTAAACGTTTGGCGTTAAGAAAAGTTCTTATGGCTTACATTGTACAGAATTTGAATGTGCATACTCGTTGGGTATATCCTGAAGTCGAAACTTGAATCGTGTTGTAAATATTAGAAATTAGCAATTCGGAACTGAAGAATTGATTGTACAGTCAGAAACGTCCTAATATAAAGAGTCAAATAGTGTAAGAGGTCCAATTTAAAAAACCCTTTACTAAACTATACAGTACAGCATAAGTGATAAGTTTATTGATCAAAATTCAAACAATGACCCTGTATAAAGATTCTGTAAAAATCGGAGTTAATTTTATAAACCCTTTTAGTAGCAAAAATAGCCAATTCAATGTACTGGCTCTAAATTTGGGGGGGGGGCCAACCATATTAAAGTATATTAAAATGTAGGATTTTTCCCGATTTTGACCCGGGGATATACTTTAATATACTTTAATATACCTACAATATACTTTAATATATCCCTATCCCTTGGAGGCCTACATCAAAAATTGTTGCCCAAAATAAGCTTGAAATGCAATTCTTAATCGATTTCAAAAAGTTCTTGAAAAAATATTGAAAACTGATGGAGTTATTTCAATTCTAATGAAGTCATTTTGGCTAGTATTCCTAACCGAGATATTATGAGCAATTTTCCCAATTTTGTTCATGGAGGTCTTTTCACTAAGTATCCACTATATTCAACAAACACTGAGTTATATCTTTCACATAGAGTTAGTCTCATTAAAAAATATTGAAATTTTATCGAATTTGGGCAAAAGCGAATTTGGGCAAAAGCGTATGCCCAAATATGGGCATATTTTTTAAAGCTCATAGCTCAGCCAATTTTTGACCAATCTGGATGGAAATTCATGTACTAGTTCTAAAACAGGCTTATCTTGCGAATCTGAGTGAAAAATATAGTTCATCATGTAAATCTTAACGAAGAATATAAATCTTCTAATTGTAGGTATATTAAAGTATATTAAAATGTAGGATTTTTTCCGATTTTGACCCGGGGATATACTTTAATATACTTTAATATGGTTGGCCCCCCCCCCCCCCCCCCCCCCCAAATTTATATATAAATCCGCAATTTTAACTGCAATACTTTTATCCCTCTTTTCTCCCCAAGTAGTCAAATCAAGTAACAAAGTGGAAAATCGAAAACAGTCCATGATTCTTACTACAACATTTGGAGGTTAATAACCTACAAAGACAGTAAGTGTCACCCTTTCAATTTATTATAACGCCATTTTATATTATTAAGTAAGGTTGCATGTACAATATACTCAGCTCCTTCTGTCGTCCCAGATGCAAGGCCGGATGATGGGTCGGACAGCGCCCAATAACAAAATGCATGATCATAACTAATCACTTCGTTGATTTATTGTTGATGATACCAACCCTTTTTTAGCTCAAATTTGTATGCTAAAATCTTGTCAAATCGATATCAGTTAGGATTATCAATTATATCAATTCATGCGCGGTCCAATAGTGCATTGCGATACATTTAACATAACCAAAAACAGTAAAATGCAAAAATTGTGTAATGCTTTTTAAAAACGAAAAACAGAAAAAAATAACTAAAATAACTAAAATAACTTGCTCAAAAACGCTCGCGCTACTGTCTAATTTCTTTTTGAAAAGCACATGACAATATAGTAGTGTAAATATTATAGTGTAAATATCTTTTGTCGATGTTTCTTAAAAATTAAATAATCTTAAACGATTTCCCGTTCAATTTTGGATGGTGCACACCATGCAACTTAACGCAAAATAAAACTTGACCATTGTTAATGATCTGGCCCGGCGCGCGCTACTTCGAAGAAATTTAGACGAGTAACATCCGTCAAAATAAAACAAATTATTTGATTAGTAAAACAAATTTTAGTAAAACAAATTTAAATTTTGGTATTTATTAATAACAATCAAAACATATCATATCATAAAAATAAAGCCGCGCGTTGGTTGACTGCCTCAGTATGGTGAATAATTTAAGCTTGAAGGTGCCCTACGCATTTACAGAACATTATGCGGCGATCACATGATCACGAGGACCTGTGAGCGCCAAATTTAATTTAAACTTTCTAGAAATCGTACATCACTACGAGTTACTCATGCTTTTGAATTATAAGAGTGCGGATTGTCAGGTATTTCATTCATTCATACGATGTCAATCTTTCGCAGCTCGGCAAGGCCTTATCTGGGGACCCCAGACTATTATGTTCATAAACATAACCTGACGTAATATAATTGAACCCTCTAAAACGCGCAAATAGGCGCGTTTATGCGATTTTACAATTAAATAATCAGATTTTACAATCTAACTCAGTGCGCGGCTTTTGTAGCGCATAGTCACTTCTTTCGTATTGGTTCTGAACGATCACGTGAATGCGAGTCACGTGTGCTCTAACATCCAATGAGCATTCGCACTTTTTTCAGGGCGATGGGAGTCGTAATTCACTTTGTCAAACGTCGTATGACCCGCCGCGCACGAAGTGCGCGGCTCCCCCTGTAGCGTCGAAGACGCTATAGTGAAACTATAGTGAAACGACCGTGGTGGTCACCACGTGATACAAAATTCACTCAGCCCTAATAA